TACCCTAAATTACAAGTACAAAAAGAATCTCAAAATCAATCCACAAACAACACAAAAATATATAAAACCAAATTGTCAAAACTCCCAATATCCAATATCAAGGTAATTAAAACCTAATTAAACATTTAAAAACCTAACCCTATCACATTGACACTAAACCAAATCCCTACCCATATCTCGATCCGTCGGAGAAGGACCCCTTGATAGCACGTTTATTGCCGTTGGCACACTTGCAGCAATCGCTCCCCATGATAAATTCCTCTCAAGTTCTACCACCCGCGAACCAACGATCACCTATCACACGTGGACGCGCGTTCATCTCGGTTGCAGCGAAGGACGAAGAGGCGGATGGAATCCGAATCGATGCATCGATCCCTTATATCTTCTATATATATTCGATCGATATTACTCGTCGTTTGGATTCTTTATCGACACGGTGACTCTCAAAAATAAACCCGCGAAGCTCGACCCTGAAGAGTCTATATTTCACTTCGATTTTCGATCATCACTTTATTAATCTACACTGTACTCCTGCAGGGCACTGAACGATACGGACTTCGTTTTGACAGAGACTGGTCTTCATTTTGTCATCGAAGGATTTAGAGATCTTTCGAGAGACGTCGGCTCCTTTGAAGAGACGTCGAGAGATGTCGATTTTGCTCGAGAGACGTCGGCTTTCGAGAGACGTCGGTTTCTTTCGAGAGACGTCGGTTTTTGAGAGACGTCGGTTTTTGAGAGACGTCGATTTTCGAGAGACGTCGGTTTCTTTCAAAAGATGTTTTGCTCGAAAGACGTCGATTTTGTTTGAGGACGTCGGTTTTGTTTGAGGACGTCGATTTTGGTCGAAAGACGTCGATTTTGTTCGTTTTTTTTGGACGTGCGGGGTCGACGCGACGCGGGTTCGAAAGAGGGAGATTTTTGGACGAGCGGACGTCGCGACGCTCCCTCGGAAGACTGATAGCGAGCTGCCAGCGCCAGGTCGTCCGCGCTCAATTTTCCACCTCCACATCCGCCACCTTCCGCTATAGTTCGAAGGAAACTATAAGCAACGAGGAGCGTGGAGCATCCTAGAGCGCTTTTCAAGGAGCAGCGCCTCTTTCGTCTTTTCGCGAAAATTTCGAGCTCGGTTCAATTTAGATTGAGAAGAGCGAGGGAACAACGTCAAAGTGGCGTAGGAATTTTCGTAACAAGAGGGACGCTAGACGCGTCAGGATGACGTAGCGTCTCAATGGTCAGGATTATTGATATTACTCTATGATGCACATGATTTTAAAGTAAATAAAAATGTAATATTATTATATTATATGATTTATAATGCCTGTATATTATGCACAATTAGGGCTTTCATTTAATATATATAATGTAATAATATTATATTATTATTTTATTTAGGGATTTACCGGTTGGTGCATAAAGCATTGTTAATATAATCTAAATTCCTAAGTCCACCAAATTTCCATCTCGCCAAATACAGATCTTCCCAAATTCGCATTTTACAAAATTCCCATTTCCCCAAATTCCCATCTCCCCAAATTCCCATCTCTCCAATTTCCCATCTTCTCAAATTTCCATCTCTCCAAATTCCCATCTCCCCAAATTCCCCTCTCTCCAATTTCCCATTTCCTCAAATTTCCATCTCTCCAATTTCCCATCTCTCCAAATACTTAAATCCCCAAATTTCTAAATTCTTAAATTCCCATCTCTCTAAATTCCCATCTCCCCAATTTCCCATCTCTCCAAATTCCCATTTCCTCAAATTCCCATCTCTCCAAATTCCCATCTCTCCAATTTCCCATCTCCCCAAATTCTCCTCTCTCCAATTTCCCATTTCCTCAAATTCCCATCTCTCTAATTTCCCATCTCTCCAAATACTTAAATCCCCAAATTTCTAAATTCCCAAATTCCCATTTCTCTAATTTCCCATCTCCCCAATTTCCCATCTCTCCAAATTTCCATTTCCTCAAATTCCCATTATTCCCACCTCTCCAAATTCCCATCTCTCCAATTTCCCATCTCCCCAAATTCCCATCTCTCGAATTTCCCACCTTCCCAAATTCTCATCTCCCCAAATGCCCACCTCCCCAAATTCCCATCTCTCCAAATTCCCATCTCTCCAATTTCCAATCTCTCCAAATACTTAAATCCCCAAATTTTTAAATTCCCAAATTCCCATCTCTCCAAATTCCCATCTCTCCAATTTCCCACCTTCCCAAATTCCCACCTTCCCAAATTCCCATTTCCCCAAATTCCCATCTCCCCAAATTCCCATCTCTCCAATTTCCCATCTCCTCAAATACCTAAATCCCCAAATTCCTAAATTCCCAAATTTCCATCTCCCCAAATTCCAAAATTCCCAAATTTCCCAAATACCCCAAATCCCAAAATTCCCAAATACCACAACTCTCAAACCACTCCTCAAAAATTCCCATATTCCAAAATCTAAATTTTCCCCAATCAAAAAATCCAAACTTAACACCTCACAAATTAGTTACAAATATTTTCTGATTCCATCATAGTTAAATGATTATCAAACAACTGAACAAACACTGATCGAAACTTGACTTTCGATCGTCTCGTATGCAACGACCCAATATTTTGTCTCTTTACCGCACAGAAACGTACGATCACGTGAGTCACCGGCTTTAGAAAATTCGCAGGCGATAAAATACGTAGAAAAACTCGCGAAACGAAGTTAGACGTGTCGGCGGTGTAATTTCGTCCTCCGCGAAAATTAAGTGCGCGACAGCTCGAAATAAACTACGTTTGATCCTTGGCACGTTTCAAGGTTTCCACACGAAATTAGGGCCAATAGTCGAGAATGAACGATAACGCATGAACGAAATTCGTTAAATGGCATACAAACGTTTTACTACGAGAACAAACGACATGAAGGTCGTGAACTTTGATCGAGTCATTCATCGAATTCTTACTTTGATTGCGTGTGGCGAAATTGTGCTTTCATAATTTTTATGCATTTTCTTTCAGGATATAATTAACTGTGTTATGTAATTGTGCCGGTACTCAGATAACATTGAACGTTCATATATTTGGGGCAGAATTTTATGAAATGAATATGAAACTGATGTGTAAAATTGTATAATTAAAATTGTGTGATGTGATGGGAGTTGTGTAAGCAAGTTTTTGAGGTTAGGATTTAGAACGAATTGCAATGGTGGTAATTTTGGTTACTTTTGTGTAGTTATTTATTTAAGAAGAAGTTCGAATATTTAGCAGTAAATGCATTTGTTATGTAGTTCATTGTATTATGTCATTATTAAATTGTTATACTTTATTATATTTTATTAAGCTTTTATAAGTAAATTGTATTATAAAACTTGCTAAAATTGTAATGCACACATATGGTAATAATATTTCAATTTTTAATTGAAATTATCTCGATAGAATTATGTGTAATAGCACTTTTTTTGAATTTCTAAATAATTTTATGAAAATTGTGACATCATTGTGTTTTTACAGTTTTTAAATAGTTTGGAAAATAATTAGTTAATATTACCATTCTTGTGTATTGTTATCAGTGCAATGTATGAGATCATGTATCAATTGTGATATGTGTGGTCAATGTGTGAAATTATATATGATTTATTTTATGAGGTCATGTGTGAATCAATTACAAAATTTTATGTGAACAAATATTCTCAATTTATTAATCTCATAACACCTGAATGAGTTATGCATTCTTTTTCTATGAATTGACGTTTCGAAAAATTTGACTTTCCAAATTTTGAATATTTACAAATATTTACAAATTTTGAATATTTTTGAATATTTTGAATATTTATTTGATATACTACCTATTTCATTACAGTATAATTTATATGAGAATTTAGTTAAATCATTTAGTTAAATTATATGAGAAAGTTCAAAATGTATTATAAAGTAATTAAGAGAAAAGTATAGGAATATTCATATAAAGGAATAATTGAATAAAAATTTTTGAGTTCAAAATTAATTTAAACTCTCATCAACATGTTAGATGTTCGTTTAAATAAATAGTATGAATAAGACGGTTTTACCGCGTTTATAATTTAAATTGCAAACTATTATATTGTAAAATTGATTATTAATATCTTTAGTACTTGATGTTATAGCGTGCCAGACTAGATACGGCTATTTCTACTGCGGCGGTCAATATGGTAACCGGTGACCGGCTCCTAACGCTATTTAAATGAATTCCTAAACGAACAGGAAATGAAATAAATATTTTCAAATATATTCAATTTTTATTTGCCTTAATTCAATTTTAACTCATATAAAAATAATGTTATGTTAACTTACATATGAGCAAATATTCATACACTCACATATCAGCAATCGTCCATCCATTCATATACGAATAATCACTCATACTTTCACATGTGAACAATCACTCATACTTTCACATATGAACAATCACTCATACTTTCACATATGAACAATCACTGATCCTTTCACGTATGAACAATCACTAATTCATTCACATATGAACAATCATTAATCCATTCACATATGAACAATCACTAATCCATTCACATATGAACAATCACTGATTCTTTCACATATGAACAGTCACTCATCCATTCACATATGAACAATCAAATATATGCAAACACGTATCAATTACAAATTTTCACTCTAACCGTATTAATAACGAGTCCTACTACGTACACTAATTTCCCTTGCAGTGTTCAACACCCCAACGCAGTGAAAATTAACATATACAGTCAGACACACTACAACTGTACTAAAAATGTAAACCATACATTATTCACTATCAACTAATTCATTAAAATTGTTATACATCATTATTTCTTTCATTTCTGCTTTTCATAATTAATTTCAGTGAAATGTAATTTATAAATTTAAGTAAATTTGTAGCGATGCTACCAATTGTAGTGATATCCAAGATGAATTGTCGATGACTTATAGTGAAAGTCAAGATATTAATGAAAGTGTTATTACAAATCGTTATAGACAACTGAAATATTGTAGATTATACTTACAATTCGAATCGTAGTTCGTCGAAAACGTCAGACCATCGTAATTTCGGTTCAATGACGATGTCTTCTCCTGTGCGTCCTTGAACCAAAAGGACCTGGTCCGGGTCCAGCCATCTTGGCGGTCCCTTGACTTTCGATGGTTGATCTACTTGCAAAAAAATTATATATTTAATTACATTTGCTTCGTATTACATTTTTGTAATCATTCATATGACTATAATCAATAATCTTTATATGACTATAATCAATAATATTTCATAATACATAACATTTTATAACACATTTTTAATATGATATATTTAATACATTTTTTTTTATGATATATTTAGTAAATGTACTACTACATTTCTTCATATGAGATGTTTCTTATAAGATGATAAAAATGTTACAAACATATAATTAATAAATATCACATTTTCTTCATATTTGTGCACATAATGGAATTATTTATTCATAGTGAAAACGTTATCGACATTTATTATTAGCGTCAGGTCCTCAATGACCCAGCCATAGATATATTCAGCTCCATAATTTATAGGTATTTTAACCATTACATTTCTAATTATTAATATTATATTTATAAGAGTCACTCTTTTTATCATTATACCTTCATCATATTTATAAAAGTAACTATATATAAAATATCTCTATAATTGTATGATATATGAAGTACACATAATATTTTCATAATTGTATATGACTTATAATATTATTGTAATTGTAGGAACCAATAATTTACACCACTTGCAAAAAGTACTTATTTATAGACATCATAATGAGTTCTATTAAATGTACTTTTTCCACAATCACCAACATCCTCATTTCTCCTAAATCACATCCTTTTACTTCAACACCCCACACTTTAATTCCAGATTACTCTTCCCACTTTCACACATACTCATCAAGAGTATCTTCAAATCCTTTCTGAAAGTTCATTAATTAATCGAGAGAAAAAAAACAAACGACAGATGAGACTCCGTTCAGACGCCTTTCTGTCGCAACAGGGTAAAACCGTAGGCGGAAATTTATTATTTGCAAGGCTACCTGGTATTTCGTCGCTCACGTGCTCACCAAGATGGCCACAGAAGCACGGATGCAAAAGACCGCGGGCGTAAATATAGATACCTGTGCGGGAAGAAAGCTAACGGGAAGGGAAATCGCTTAAGAAAATAAAACGGGACACCGTATTCGTTCGGCGAAAAAACGCGCCGCGAAAATCCGCGCCGAATTCCGTACTCGTATCCCTCTGGCGTAGCGGTAAATAAATACGTTAAAAAATAAACATGGCTGAACGATCGTGTTTTCGACATGTGCCTCCACTAAAATCATCTCGAATCACCCTCGTTTAACCCCTCTCGATTTACCGGAAGTTCCATATTTGCAGAAGGTCTTCAGGGTGTTTGAATTATTCGGTTGGAGAATTTGCGATTGGAGAAGATGTAGATTCTAGAGTTTGAAGGATGTGGACTCTTCACGGTGTTTGAATGAACAGAAGGAGATTCAGGTTCAGGATTGAAACAAAATCATACCTGTTAAGGTCATCTCGTCAGACGATACGAAGACCGATCCTTCCTCGCATTGACATCACTCTGGTCGATGTTCGAGCTGGTTCGACCAGGAAGCGACCTGCACGTCCTTCCGGTCGCGGGTTGCGCGAGCTTCCGGCGACCTCCTCTTCAGGGTTGACCCGTGGCACAGCACACTCTGCGCCACGAAATCTGACGGCAGGAGGCCCTGCTCCGGTCTAAAATCGTCTCGACACGCCACTCTCGGCTTCGTCGTTTTAACGAAACACGCACATGCGCCGTTAACGTCGTTCCACGCCTCCCCTTTCCTCCCTTCCTTCTTTCTCTCTTTCTCCTCTTCTCCACACGCATATATTAACGCCTCCTCGCCCCGTGCGCCCGCTTTCTTTGGCCCGCTATCTATCCCTGATGTAACTTGGCGCATCGCTGTTTTTTATCTTTGAATAACTTTGTCCCTTGCTGCGATGCTTTCCTTCTTTATTATTTCGATACTTTCTTTCTTTACTGTTTACTGTTATTTTTTTTCTCGAGGTTAGGGTGATTCTGGGAGGTTCTTGTGCGATTTTGATTGAGGAAGTCTGAGGATTCTTGAAATTGTGTTGACTGGTAAACTTGTTGATTGATTTAGAAAACTATGTGGCGGTATGAATTGGCGGTGTGGATTGTCACGTTGATGTCACATGATTAATATGATTTAGCATAATGATATTGTTGAATGATAATTATGAGAATTATTTATATTGATGCTACATGTTGATTATCAATGTGCATTATCATATTGATACTGTGAAATGATGATTGTCAGTATGAATTATCATACTGTTATTATTAAATGTTAACTATCAATAGGAATTATTATATCGATGTAAATAAATGTTGAGTGTCAACAAGAATTATTATATTGATATTATTAAATAATTCAGATACTTATTTTAACAAACATGTTAATTTATGATGTCATCTCTCAAGTTATAATTATTCAGAATAATTTAATTATTTTAATTTCATACAGAATTTTATTAATGATTTTTTGGTACAAGTATGAATAATTTAGTATATATTTTAATGATTTAAGTTTAGTTTGAGTTTTAATTATTAATAGCAAAACCCATCTTAATCAGCACTATATTTAAAAATGTCTCTTACTATATTGCAGAAGTCCTTGAAATTGGCAATATATCAAGTTGGTTATAAATCTTTTTCCTGACTGATATGAAGAGGGTCTTCTTATGAGGCAATATTAGAACATTACCATGGTATGCGAAATAAAATACGAAAATTGCAATATAACGAGAGTTTACTATAATTCCCCAAGAGCTGTCTATCAATATAAATCTCAATATCCCCATGAGTCAACGTTACAAATATACGATGATATGTGAAATAAATACAGAAACGGTAATATAACGAGAGTCTACTATAATTCCCCAAAAAGCTGTCTATCAATATAAATCTCAGTACCCCCACGAGTCAATATTAGAAAAGTACTATGTTATCTAAAATAAAGTACAAAAGTGGCAATATAAAGAGAGTCTACTGTAATTCCCCAAAATATTAAAACCATGAGTAAATTTTAAAAAAGTGAGTCAATATTAAAACAGTATCATAGCGTGCGAAATAAAATACCAAAATGGCAATATAACAAGAGTCTACTGTAAAAAGCTATTAACATAAATTTGCAAATCGCTCAATCCAGATCTCAAAACGGAGCAGGACAATAAAAAGTCGATTTGAAATTCAACAGTTATGTACACATTTATTACGCGTAAGAACATCCATAATAATAAATAAGAATAAATAATAATAACAATAATTTATAATAATATACCATTAAATATACTCTTAATATCCATTACACTATCTTTGGTACTCGTTTGTTGCTGAATGAAACAATTGGTTTCAGCAACATGGTTGCATTTTAATTTGCTTGACAAATTGCCACGATCGATTCGAGGTCAAAAATCCTCACCATCGAAGCTTCTTGGAGGACTATAGACTTGTCTAAATGTCGAGAATCTCTTCCACGTACAACATTCTTCAAGATCTCTTCGACATCTTCAAGATCCCTTCGACATCTTCAAGATCTCTTCAAGATGACTTCATTCGCGTTCTTCTAGGAAGAACTTCTAAATTCATCAGAAAACCTTCGGAACGTCATTGCTTTCGTTTGGACCACCACCACCCGCCGGACACCCTCCCCCGAATCTCGTGTTGGATTCTTCTGTAAAGCAGCAGCGCGATGAAAGGAATCGCCAGGGTCTCCTTCTTGAAGAGATAAACGTAGACGGCTGCCAACAGTAGCGTAAGGTCAGTTACGTATCCAACCGTATTCCTAACATTATACTTCGCTTCGATCGCCAGACGTTCTTCATTTAATCTACTCTCCCGCCAGGCGACTTCAGGATAACTTCTCTCCGTGGACAACCCACGTCTTGAAGGACGATATTTCTTGCTTTCCAAAGTCCTCTGCAATCTCTCCTTCTTCAACTCAATAGGTGTCTCCGGTCTGTTTCTGTCCTTAGAGCTTGATCTGGACCGCGTTCTCGAGGAGGCCCTCTTCGTCCTCCGTCCTTCATCCACAGACGGTTCCCTGACGTATCGATGGTCCTCCGAGCCCGTCCTCGACGGAGGTCTCCTATCCTGCGAAGGAGCTCGGGCTCTCGTTTTCGACGAGGACCTCGAAGAAGCCCCTCGTTCTGTGGACACATTTCTGGACCTGGGAGCTGGGGACTCGTTTCTGGAAGGCGGTCTACTGATCCTCTTCTCCGCTTTCGTTTCTCGCGCAGGAGTGGTCCCTCGAGAACCAGCTCTTCTCGGTTGGCTAACCTTTTGTTCGCTCTTCTTCGCCGGCTGAACCTGGGTCTCCCTCACTTTGTTATTCTTAGCTTGATCCTTCAATTGACTCTCTGGTTCCTGACTTTCCGAAAAGGAAGACCTTCTGGAGCTAGCTACGCTGTCACCCAGCTTCCTCTCCTCCGAGCTCCTGTAATTATACTTGCTCGAGTGCTCCCTCACGATCTCCGTGTAGTGATTCACCACCGCCATTCGTGCCTCGATGTCCTCTTCGTCGACCTCCTCCTCAGACGCGTTGGACCTCATCTTCGCCTGAATCCTGCGGTTCTTCGCCGCCTCTCCTGCGGACAGCACGCTGTCCGTATCAGACTCCGACATCACAGGTGTCTTAATGGTCTCAACTTGCTGAACCTCTTCATCCTTATGTTGCTGTGGCTGCACAGGTTGCGGTGGGATCTTTCTGATGGGCTTCTCCGGAGGGATGGGTCTCCCAAAACTGTTTACAGGAATCGGTTCTTCCTTGGGTTTCTTTAGTATCGATTTAGGGACCACATTCGTAGGGGACAACGGTGGTGGGACTGTTCTGGTGGGGGTGGGTGGCGACACCTCTAAAATGGGGACTCTGTGTGGTGGAATGGGCGGGGGTTCCGGTTCGATGTGTAAGATTGGTCTTCCGGAAGGGTGATAGGTGTCCTCTTCCTCGAGCACCTGTCTAGCGAGAATCCTGGCCTTCAGCAGCTTCAGATCCTCGCTGTCCGCGCTGCTGACCTCCTCGGATGACTCCTCAGATGTCTCCACACTCTCTTCTTCCTCTTCTTCTTCCTGTTTCGCATCCTGAGCTGGCTCTGGAACCACCTCTTTCTCTTCATTGGTCGGCCAGGGTATCGATTTGTCGTTAAGCTCCTCCACCAAAGGCACGTTGGCGTCGTGCCATCTGCGCAGCTGCGTCGCCGAGTCCTCCTCTTTGTCCAACCCCCAAGGAGCCGCTGGCTCCACATCGCCCGGTATGTTCGGATCAGACCTCGCTTCGATATCAGTCAACGGACTTTGAAGCTTCAGAGGTACTTTCAGAGTGTCGGCCTGACTCTCGCTGGACCTCCTGCGATTCTTCTTCGGCTGCCAACCGATCAGATTCGGAGGAATCACTGCAGGGTTCGATAGTCTTCTTCGGATGGACGATAGTCGGTCTTGGTTATCGATTTCGTCGCCTTCTTTTGGTTCCACGGTCGTTGCCAGCTCTCCTGTTTTTCTTTCGATCTGCGTTTTCCTTTTGGCTACCTCTGAGGCCTCTTCGGCGGCTACGGCCTTGTAGAAACGCTCCATGGCTCGTTCGTGGAGAAGCTCTGTTGAACTGACCGCTTCACGAAGGGTCTCCACCACTTGGTGCTCAGCGCTAAACAGTTCGGGGAGGGATAAGGACATGGGAGGTGGTATGAGGTCCTCCATGTCTTCTGGCTCCTCTGGGGCTGGTCTGGCATCTGCAAGATTTGTGTATTATTTTGATAGGTGTACCTTGGTATTAGATGTTGATGAATATGCAAGATTTTTTAGTTATAATTGTGTGGACATGTTTAACCTTCACTTGTTACGTTAGGTGTGGTGTGATCAAGTATATGACATCTGAAGTGAAATCAGAGAATGTTGATTAGATGTAACATGCAAGGTTTTTAGTTAGAACTGTATGATCATTTTTAACCTTCATATGTTATGTCAGGTATTATGTGACCAAGTGTATGACACCTTGAAGTGAAGTTAGAGAACAAAAGTTGGTTTGTGGGTAGCTTTGTGAATACTAAAGAAAATGCAAATTGTTAATTCCAGATTTGCGTGAACGTATCTAACATTTGTTAGAGTAGGTATGATACACTATGACATCTGAAGGTCTATGACACCTGAAGTGAAGTTAGAAAACAAGACATGAGATAGCAGTTTCATATCTCTTGATCCACATCAGTCATAGTGAAACTAAAATGACATCACAAATTTATGAATGCCAAACATGATATTTAGTTTTAGCTTCAAACAAGGACATGACCTGTAGCACACAGCCTAGTAGTACCTAACTACGTAGCCTAACCCAATCATAATTTCCTATAAATTAAGAAGTGACCTACTACCAAAAATAAAGAGGATCAAATAGTCCTAATCTTACCCGAGTTCTTCCGTCTGCCATCAATGTCCCTAAACTTCTTCTCCTGATCCTGATCCTCCGGATACAGCACTAACATAAACTCCGAGCTTCCATGAAGCGCACTCTCGTCATCTTCTCTAGGAGTGGTAGGTGAACCAGGTTTATCAAGGTCCAACGAATTATTCTTGATAAGCGGTGGTTCTGGTTCGTCAACGGTAGTCTGCTGCTTCTTCAGGACCAAATGCATGGACGGTCTAAGACGCGAGGTCGCTACATGACTCTCTTCTTCTCGCTGTTCTTGAATTTGAGGCATCGACAGCGGAGACATGCTGCGTTCTCTTGGTATGGAAACAGACCTTGATCGCGACTCCCTGTAGACTGAACGTCGTGTCTCCTCCGTTTGTGGTGGTGAAACCGTCACTGTAGTGGGTGGTTTGGTTGCTGGACTCTCCTTGTTTTGGTTCAAACTCTGGTTTTAATAGAATGATTGTAAGAGTATTATTAGCTTGATTGCTAAATTTTAAGTTTGAAGGGCAGTCTATAAGCTTTGGGGAGCAGTCTATTAACTTTGAAGAGTAGTCTATTAATTTTGGGCGGCAGTCTATTAACTTTGAGGAGCAGTCTATTAACCTTAAAAAGCAGTAATTACAATTTGAATGCAACTCTTTGACTTAGGGTCAATAGTATCTGACTTAGGATAAATTTAAAGACTACATATGAAACACATCTCAAAATGTAAATAAGAATACATGTCGATCAGTTAGAAATGTGTGTCCAAGATTTCACTGTCATAATGTTATTAAATTTCACTGTCATAAATCAGTTAACTATTATCCCAATTTACCTGATTAACAGGTGCATTAACAGCACGATCCGAGTGATTCTCAACCCGGTCATGCCTCGAAGTGGAATGATCCTTCGATCTAGCCGGAGGAACAGGTGGTTCTGACTTGTCCATAGTGTCCAATGCAAAAGTGACTCTACTATCTGCCCTAGATGGTCTTCCCGAGAGTCTCTGAGCAGATGCTGACCGACTCGGACCGAAACGCATGTCATCGTCCTCGTCTCGAACTCGAGACTCTTCCCTCGTTAAACTTCTGGTCCTCTGAGCGGGAACGGCGAAACTCACTTCACGCTTCTCCCGTGATCTGATTTCTCTGTGGCTCTGCGATTTTCCGCTCAATGATGGCGTCATTATGCTGCACATTCGAGAGACTGGGTTTAAGTTATGGACACTTGGTACTCAAGTTCTGTTTCTAGTATTTCAATTAATATTTTGTGGTCTTCATGATGTTCATAAAACGTGCAAGGTTAAAGTAGGATTTGTTAAATAAATTTTGTTCGTTTATTACTATTTTGTGGTCAGAGTGGATATTGATAAAATGTGCAAGGTGGACAGTGGTTTAAGTGGACACTGTAGCTAAACATTTCTGATGCTTTAGCCATCATCATATGATATATATTTAGTCATTTAATGAATAAGCAAGGTTAATATGGATGTTGTAAGTCAAATTTCATTTCTGGTCCTTTGACCGCCATTTTGTTATGTACCTACTTGGACTCTTGAGTAGAACTTATTCTTAAAAACGAGCAAAAATACCTTGTTGTCATCTTTGTAGCCAAATGACATAGTAGAAAACTAATAAAAAACCAAACTACTGTACTAAAAAAGTATAACATACAGTAACAATATAGTAAAAAAAATGAAAGTTATGAATGAGCAAGGTAACCATATTTAATAACAAAATGGTTATACTTTGCTAAAAACAGAATTCTATCATTTCTTTTGGACATGTAGCTATTTTGGACCACATTTTGGACATGTAGTTATTTCGGACCACATTTTGCCATGTCTCATGTATCTATTCACACAAGCAGATAACATCAAGCTATAACCTAATCACAAAATAAAACACACCCCCTCTTTAAATCTGGAATGAAGATTACGTCGCTCTCCTCGCTAGGTTCGCTCACACCATACGGATTCTCAGCTTTGACTCGAAACTTGTATTCCGATCCCTCGATTAACTCCGACAGCGTCGCTTTGGTCTGTCTACTCGTGGTTGCCTTCAGCCACACGTCCCAGCCAATCTACGACACAATTTCTGATCGTCAATCACAAGAATGAAGAAGAATGAAGAAATAACAATTTTACCACTTACCCTGTAATACTCGACGATATATGTGCCAATCTTGCAACCACCGTCGTCTTCGGGCTCCTTCCATGATAGGGACACTGTTCTGCCTAGGGTCATGGTGACCATGGCTTTTCCTGGTGCTGCTGGTCGATCTGCAAATTAAGGTTTATCTACAGGGTTCATCTGATGACGCTTTTAGATACTGTAAGATATTTTTTGGAGGATGATATAAATGTGGAGTTAGAGTCTTTAGGTGGATTTAGAGGTGCTAGGTGGATTTAGAGTCGTTAGGTGAATTTAGAGTTGTTAGGTCGATTTGGAGTCGTTAGGTGGATTTACAGTTTTGTTTTTGAGTGACTACTGACTTCTAAAAAATTGTTAGAAGAACTACTTGCAATGAGAGATACATTAAATCACAAGTTGGTCCAAATGCATATAATCCATAAGTAGATTAAAATTCACAAAATTTTGCCTAAGCAACAATTCACTTCAAACTAATATATTAAATGGTTCAGCCATTAAATGGTTCACCTAGGATTCACCTAAAATTTCCAACAAAGATTTTCTAGATTTATATACAGATATGCACTACAACCTGAATTTTTTATAATATAACAGCGAATATCCACCGCCCCTACAAAGCAGTATCGCCTGCCAAAATCAATGAAAGAGTGAAACAAATATCGACGAACTAAATTTGATTATAACCTGTAACAGTGACCAGAAACGAGGAAGTGTCTTCGCCAAGTTTATTTACAGCTTTCACGGTGTATTCTCCTCGGTCTGCGCGTTTGGCATCAGGGATCTTCAGAATCGATTCACCGTCCATCGTCTCGAAAATGTGCCTCTCGTCATGGGAGATCGTCTCTCCGTCATGGTACCAAATAACGGAAGGCGGTGGTCTTCCAGCTAGGGATACCTTCAGCCTAATTGTTTCGTCTTGCTCGAAAAGGAGGCCGTCTTCGTATTGGCGTGGAAGTCGAATTTTTGGAGGAGCTATTTTTCAAATCATTAATAATTATTATATATTAACTATTTTTAAAAATGAATGTTATTAACAATTATTTTTAATAATTAACTTACTAAGAATTATTTTTAACAATTAACTTATTAAGAATTGTTCTTAACAATTGACTTATTTAGAATTATTCTGGACAATTAACTTATTAAGAATTATTCTTAACAATTGACTTATTAAGAATTATTCATAACAATTGATTTATTAAGAATTGTTCTTAACAATTGACTTATTAAGAATTGTTTTTAACAATTGACTCCTTAAGAATTGTTCTTAACAATTGACTTATTAAGAATTATTCTTAACAATTGACTTATTAAGAATTGTTCTTAACAACAGACTTATTAAGAATTATTCTTAACAATTGACTTATTAAGAATTATTCTTAACAATTAACTTATTCAGAATTATTTTTAACCATTAACTTATTCAGAATTATTTTTAACGATTGATTCATTAAGAATTGTTCTTAACGATTGACTCATTAAGAATTGTTCTTAACAATTGACTCATTAAGAATTGTTCTTAACAATTGACTCATTAAGAATTGTTCTCAACAATTGACTTATTAAGAATTATTCTTAACAATTAACTTATTCAGAATTATTTTTAACCATTAACTTATTCAGAATTATTCTTAACAATTGACTTATTAAGAATTATTCTTAACAATTAACTTATTCAGAATTATTTTTAACCATTAACTTATTCAGAATTATTCTTAACAATTGACTTATTAAGAATTATTCTTAACAATTAACTTATTCAGAATTATTTTTAACCATTAACTTATTCAGAATTATTCTTAACAATTGACTTATTAAGAATTGTTCTTAACAATTGACTCATTAAGAATTGTTCTTAATAATTGACTTATTAACAATTGTTTTCAACAATTGACTTATTAACAATTGTTCTTAACAATTGACTTATTAAGAATTATTCTTACCAATTAACTCAATAGCAATTACTCTTAACAATTAACTTAATAAACAATTATTTTTAAAGAGATATTTTTAACCTACAAAGTTAAGTTTTTTGACAAGGAATATAAGAATTTTTATTTGTTTAACAAACCTTCTAAGACCAGTCTGGCTTTGGTGCTGGAGTGACCAGCTCTGTTAGTTGCGGTGCACTTTATTTCGCCCTCGTCGTTTAGCGCCGTTTGATGGATCAACAGAACACTTCTACCACTATCTGTGATGATTCTTGTCCTCCTGCTGCTGAAGATCTCGAAACCATCTTTGAACCACGAGATCTTCGGTAATGGCGATCCAGTAAACCGTACCACGAATTCTGCCTGCAATCAGAATTATAATAAAATTATTTCAGAATGTTAAATTACATCATATACAATATGATGAAGAAGAAAAATTGCATAATTTTAGTATCAGTCGATGACGTTAGAAATTGAGTATCAATCAACAAAGTTAAAAATTTAGTATCAAATTTTGAACAAAGTTAAAAATTCAGTATCAGTCAATAATGTTAAATAATGTTAAAACAATGATGTTAAAAGTGAAAATAATGAAAAATTAAAAATAAAAAGTTAAAAATTAAAAGTGAAAATAATGAAAAATTAAAAATAAAAAGTTAAAAATTAAAAGTGAAAATAATGAAAAATTAAAAATAAAAAATTAAAAGTGAAAATAATAAAAAATGAAAAATGAAAAATGACAATAATGTTAAAATGAATGAGATATTAATGAAATAAAAATGAAATAAAAAAAGAAGACCTGCTCATTTTCCAAAACAACCGTGTCCTTGAGTTCCAAGTCAAAATACGGAGCCGAAGAGGCGGACCTCTGCAAGGTCACAGTCAGAGCATCGGAGATCTCACTGGGTCGAGAAAGACCCACGACGTTCTGAGCCCTGACCCTGAACTGGTAGCGCCATCCTGGTTCGAGGCCGCTCAAGGTCAGTTCCGGGAAGGTGCATAGTGTTGGTGTGCTGCGAACCCAGTGTTGTGAACCGAGTCTTCGATGTTCAACGAGGTAGCCGACAATGGCCGAGCCACCGTTACTCGGTGACCTCTCCCAACGAATGGCGACCACATCTGGCTGAGACTCGTCCGCCCCGGGTATGAGAATTGGCTTTCCTGGAGGAGCTGGAAGTCCTGGAATTTTTAGGTTGAAAAATAATCTTGATTATTTTAAAATTTGTGGTGTTTATGTATGAGTTCATATATGAAGGTTTCTTTGAATAAGGATGTGCAAAGTCTGTGTTCTTAAATTCTTCAAAAATTATTTGTTTAAACTAACTAACTAATCAACTGACTAACTAACTAACTAGCTAACTGGCTAACTAACTAACTAACTAACTAACTAACAAACCAACTAATTAACTAATTAACTAACTAACTAACTAACTAACTAACTAACTAACTAACTAACTAACTAACTAACTAACTAACTAACCTTTATGTATGAGTTCATATATGGATGTTTCATAGAATAAGGATATGGTCTATGTCCTTAAATTCTTCCCAAATTATTTTGTTAAACTAACTAACTAACTAAAAAAGTTAATTAGCTAATTAACTAACCAACCAAATCCCTACATGTCCATATCGGTGAATCCCTAAATAAGGTCCTAAATTGAAGGCCTTAAATTCTGTGGTTACTAAACACTTATATCCTCTAATTCATATGTCCTCAATTATTAATTCAAATAGCTAGATAACCAGATTAGAAAACCCCAAATTCTATGATCACTAAATACTTACATCCCCAAATTCATATGTTCCTTAGTTATTACTTCATCAAATGGCCAGATGACCATATCAGCATATTCTAAATTCGAAGTCCCCAAATTCTATGATCACCAAATACTTACATCCCCAAATTCACATATCCCCTAATTATTACTTCACCAAATTCCTACATAAGCCTATCAGTATATCCCAAAATCTCACAGTCCCCAAATCTGAAGTTCTTCCAATACCTACGTCCCCAAATTCGCATGTCCCCTAATTATTACTTCACCAAATCATTACATGAGCCTATCAGTATATCCCAAAATCTCACAGTCCCTGAATTCCATGATCCCCAAATACTCACATCCTCAAATTCACATGTCCCCTAATTATTACTTCCCCAAATCCCTACATAAGCCTATCAATACATCCCAAAATCTCACGATCCCCAAATCTAAAGTTCTTCCAATACCTACATCCCCAAATTCGTAGCTCACCAAATCCCTATATGACCCTATTAGTATATTCCAAAACCTTACACTCCCTAAATCTCAAGTTCTTCCACTACCTACATCACCATTTGGTGATTGAGCTACGAATTTTCGTAGCTCACCAAATACCTAAATACCCATACCTACATCCTCCAATCTGAACGCCCCTAATTTTCATTACCAATAGCACCAATGGCACTCCCATAATACATATGTGCCCAAATTACAATTGTGCCTGCAATTATTATTATGTGAGGGTGGACTAATATTACACATAAGTGAATGAATTATTATCATACATAACTGAATGAATTATTACATCCATATGAATGTACTACTACTACATATCATAATGCATCAATTATTCCACACGAGACGCACGAAACCTAAGAAAAGCGTCAAAGTCTACCGCCCGATTTTCATTAAAGAAGGCACGACGAAGTCCAATTTTAACGCCTCCGAAGAGAAACAATGGCCGGTATATTACATGTATTTTAGCCCGACGATGTCACGACGCTCAGACGGCGAATATAAAGGAGCACGCTAGTTAATAAGTTCACGGAAAGCTCGCACGTGCCAGAACGTTGCTCACGCACACATGTGTAGAAAGAAACTTGTGTGGAAGACACGAAGATGTTTAACACAGGTCCGCAGGTGGCGCTCCCAAAATAAAATTTGAAACGTTTGGCAACCGGTGGGGCCATTGCTGTGCTGTCCTCAGGGTAGGAAAACTATGCGAGACTCTGAACCGACATCGGATACCGGTTCGATACTCTTGTACAGCATACCTATCGTTTCAAGATCGATTTCTTCTTCATACGTTGCTTTGTTATGAAAAAAGGAGAGGATGAATTCATGAGGAGATTCATTGAGATTATTTGAGGAGAGATTCATTTCGAAATTGGTTCTATAGTTTTCATTTTTATCACGTGTTGTATGAGTCAGTGGTAGATTAGTGGACAGACAGTGGAAACTGAGAAGAAATGAAGAAGTTAGTTGGAATGCAGTGAACTTTAATTTTTATGCCTGAAATTTATGTTAAAATTTAGTATTAGAATTGTTAGATGTGAGGAAAGATTTGATGTGAACATGCTAATCAATTCTTCATTTCTTCAATATGAGAAGAGAAGATTTCTTCTCACGTGAGGAGAGATTTGTTCTGAAATGTGGTGAAACTCTTCAATTTTTCACTTTTATGATATTTAGCATTAGCTGCATAATTGATAGGTTATATGAAGGAAGATGAAGAGTTTAATACAGGACTATCACAAATTAATTTTTCATTTCTTCAATATGGTAGCTTACGATGTGAGAAGAGATTGGTTCTCAAATGTAGTGAAATTCTTCAATTTTTCATTTTTATGACATTTAATATTAGCTACATCATTGGTAGATGATGTGAAGGAAGATGGAGAATTTAACATAAGACTACCATTTTTTATTTTTATGATATTTAGTATTAGTTGCATTATTGATAGATTATATGAAGGGTGATGAAGAGTTTAATATAGGACTATCACAAATTAATTTTTCATTTCTTCATTTCTTGAAAAAGTGTAGTGAATCATTGGTAGCCTACGACGTGAGGAGAGATGCAATTTGCTCCAGAATTTGGTGAATCTTACCAATTTTTATTTTTCCTCATCATATTTAGAATTACATTAGTAGCTTATGATGTAGAAGAAAACAACTTACCCCAAAAAATAGTCAATCTGCATAATTAAAAATTTTAATAAAATTGAATATACAGAGTGTCCCATGTGATAGAAAATATGAACAATGCCTCAACATCTCAGCATCTAGTTAATTAAATATTTGTTACTATTAAAATTATGAAGTTTTTATAATTACCAAAATGTCTAACTATAAATTAACGAGAACATGTACTTTACCCGAAAGAATAAAGAATGTCTAAAGAAAAGTTCGACCATAAACATGTTTTCACCACACACTCCGCGTCCATCGCCAGACCCAATCAGCAACTAAAACAAACACCCTCGATCCGCCAGTTAATTTTGGCCAACTGATACGATGATAAATAAATAAAGTCCGCAGATAAACCCCCACGATCCTGCAAATTTTCACCAAAGCAAAAGTTCAACAAACCATAATCCTCCCTCTACTAATTGTCCCCCGTGCATAACCGATCAGTCAAACGTTGCGTGAGCTTGACAGATCCGTAAAGCGGTCTAATTTTAGCCATCATCCCACTATCGAAGCAAGCCAATCGAAAGAGGAGCCGAACAGTTACCGGAAACCACCGAATCCCACGCCGGACATATACCTAACGAAGGATCCTGAAGAATGGGGAAAACGGTAGAAAACCATCGATGCAAACATATGTAGATCAAGATGGCGATCGGTTAAGATGGCTAAGATCATCCCCGATGAGGGCGATGAACGACGATGCGAATTAAGGTGAAGGTATTGGTGTACCTGATCCCTCCCAACGTGGTCTCCTGTTGGTACCACCGACTTGCAGGCTCTTCGAGTAGTGGCTCTTCGCGGTGGCGTTGCCCATGGCCGTTCCTCCTCTTCCTCTTCCACGTCGAGCCTAGCTCGACGATCACACCGTTCCTGGCCAGTTTTCCGCTCGTTGCTGCACCACGAACAGCCGAAACACCGTCATCGATCGCCGCTGCGAGATCGATCGACCGCGAACAAGCTACGCCTCGGACTGTCTTCGGCAAAGAGCGACGAGGACGATGAAGAGAGAAAGAGAATTCGGCTCGATATAGCACGAGGCTCGTCGGTGCTGCACTGGCGGATCTCTTCGTGGCCGACGACCGTAGCGACGCCAGCCTCTTCGGGCTTCCTCTTCAGGCTATCTTCGTCCCGCCCTGTGGTTTCTTTCTTGCCCCTCAGTCTTTCTGAAATCATCCGCGTTTCTCGAGCATGTGCCTCGTACGTTGTTGATCACAGCTCACCGAGATACGCGACGATCATCTTCTTGAGTTACGTAATCTTCGATGCCGCGGGATTGGACTTTGCTGACACCTGGTGACTCGGCGGGACCGATGATTGATGGGAGAGTGAGGGGTCTGTGGGATTGCAAGTTTGAGATTGGATAGGGAATGGTTAGTTGGTTTATGGAAATTGGTTTGTTTCCGGGGATTTTTGAGAAGATTGAGATTTGGGAATTTAGGGATATAGGGATTTGGAGAGTAGGGAATTTGGAGATTTGGGGATTTGAGGATTTGGGGATTTGGGGATTTGGGGATTTGGGGATTTGGGGATTTGAGGATTTGGGAATTTAGGGATACAGGGATTTGGAGATTTGGGGATTTAGGGATACAGGGATTTGGAGAGTAAGGGATTTAGAGATTTGGTAATTTAGGGATTTGGAGATTTGGGGATTTGGGGATTTGGAGATTTGGAGATTTCGTGATTTGGGCATATAGGGATATAGGGATTTAGAGATTTGGGGATTTAGGGATACAGGGATTTGCAGATTTGGGAATTTGGGAATTTGGAATTTGGAATTTTGGAGATTTGAGATTTTGAGATTTGGTAATATAGGTATTTGGAGAATTGGGATTTTGAAGATTTGGGAATTTGGGAATTTGAGAATTTGGGATTTTGAAGATTTGAGGATTTGGAGATATGGGAATTTGGAGATTTGGGAATTTGAAAATTTGGGAATTTGGAGATTTGGAAATTTACAAATTTGATAATTTAGCTTACTACAGCTTATCACGTCCCTACGTTCCTAGATCCCTAGATTCATATATCCCTAGATCTCTATATACTCCTATTTCCCTGGATCCCTAGATCCCTAGATCCCTGGATCCCTATATCCCTATATCCCTATATCCCTATATCCCTATATCCCTATATCCCTATATCCCTATATCCCTATATCCCTATATCCCTAATCCCTATTATATCCCTATATCCCTATATCCCTATATCCCTATATCCCTATATCCCTATATCCCTATATCCCTATATCCCTATATCCCTATATCCCTATATCCCTATATCCCTATATCCCTATATCCCTATATCCCTATATCCCTATATCCCTATATCCCTAGATCCCTATATCCCTAGATCCCTAGATCCCTACATATTCCTATTTCCCTAGATCCCTAAATCCCTAGATTCCTATATATTCCTATTTCCCTAGATCCCTAGACCCCCAGATCCCTAGATCCTTGGATCCCTATATCCCTAGATCCCTATATATTCCTATTTCTCTAGATACCTAGATCCCTAGATCCCTATATTCCAATATATTCCTATTTCCCTAGATCCCTAGATCCCTAGATCTTTAGATCCCTAAATGCCTATATTCCAATATAATTCCTATTTCCCTATATTCCTAGATCCGTACATCCCTATCCTATATCCCTATATCCCTACATTTCCATATGTTCCTATTTCCATATCACTATTACCTTCAAATTACCATAATTTCCTCTATTCATCTCCTCCATATTGTACCACATTTAGAATATCGGTCAGCACAAGACCCCGTACTATTTAACTTGTTAAACATTCCTCCCACATTTTCCCCAGAAATCCATCTAAATGCATCTTAGAACCGTACCTCAAACAAATATATACAGCTTGAATCACGACTGTTCAGTTCACGAACTTGAATTTCCGCTGACGTAAAGAGGTGAACGCGTTCGTGACGTCAGTGTCCGATATTCCTGCGCTCGGATTTAACTCGCAGTTTACTGCTCTGCACCCTCGTTTCTCGTTTCTTTCGATACTCCCACTGGAATGTATCATATGCTTATATTTACAGAGGCACACCTTACTTTTCATGGCGTTTGGTCAACGCCGGTCACCGACCTTGTGCTCGCGCGTGCCACGCAACCAATAAACTCCTTTAACACGTTCCGTGCCACGTGTACCACCGGTGGTACACGGTAAACTTGATCGTCAGGCCACGTGTACCACCGGTGGTACACGCAGTCATATTTATTCAATGTGCTGAAAACATATATTTTATTACAAATATAATTCTGTAAACTATATTTCTACCTAAAAAATGAAGCATTATACAAGATGCAGTATAGAACAAAACACATAAGTTTATTTAATTGTTATATATACAATAATTAATAATTACATTTAATGGTGCATTTTGTTCAAGCAAGGGAGGCATAAAGACGGCTTTTTCGGGCAATCGCTGCAAAACGTTATTACTCTTATAGTTTTTTGTCTTGTTACTTCAGTACCGAATTTTTTTACATTTTTTTTTATAGCAAGAAATGAAAATAAAATAATAAAAGAAAAATAATAGTAATAATGAAGTAAATAATAGAAACTTGTTTTCCAACAGAAACAAATGAAAAACAAAAAATGTTATCTCCGTATATTTACCTACTCCTTCTTTTATTAAATAATTTATTTTATTTCTCTCGTTTTTTATTCAACAAATTCGAGTGCAGCAGATTTTTTACTAACCGAAAAGTGTCGAACTGACTGACTTTTGCACTCGAACTGATCGCAGCGCCACGTGTACCACAGGTGGTACACGATGTGATAACTGCTCTAAACAAGAGAACTACTTATGTATTGATGATATAATGAAATATTGTGTGATAATATATCGATCTTTAGTCAAAATATCAAATGGCCTGAACGACAAGTCAGGTAAAAATGGCTTGGCACGGAACGTGTTAACATATTGTGTTGATCGTTAAAAAGCTTTCAATCGAGAGAAACTGTGCTGGACGATATGCTAGAACGAACATAATCGATTCTAGATCCTCGTTCGTTATTGCTGTGGTGAAATACTGCTTGATGATTAGGGTGACACGTTTAATGGTTGCGTGAACAGGTCACATGCTTGCTTTAGTTTATTTTATATTAAAGAATGGTTATTTTCATTTTATGATATGAATGGTATACTTGAATAATACAGTTGAATAATATACTTGAATATTGTACTTGAATAATATACTTCAATAATATACTTCCATGATATGCTTCAATTATATACTTAAATAACATACTTCAATAATATACTTCAATAACATACTTCAATGATGTACTTCAATAATATACAACAATAATATACTTCAATATTAAACTTCAATGTTATACTTCAATGATATGCTTCAATTATATACTTCAATATTATACTTGAATAATACAGTTGAATAATATACTTGAATATTGTACTTGAATAATATACTTCAATAATATACTTCCATGATATGCTTCAATTATATACTTAAATAATATACTTCATTAATATACTTCAATAATATACTTGAACTTTATATTTGAATAATATACTTCAATGGTATACTTCAATAATATACTTCAATAATATGCTTCAATAATATACTGCAATAATATACTTCAATAATATACTTGAATTTTATATTTGAATAATATACTTCAATGGTATACTTCAATAATATACTTGAATAATATAATTGAATATTATACTTGAATAATAGGCTTCAATAATATATTTCAATAATATACTTCAATAATATACTTGAATAATATGCTTCAATAATATACTGCAATAATATACTTCAATAATATACTTGAATTTTATATTTGAATAATATACTTCAATGGTATACTTCAATAATATACTTGAATAATATAATTGAATATTATACTTGAATAATAGGCTTCAATAATATAATTCAATATTATATTTGAATAATATACTTCAATGGTATACTTCAATAATATACTTCAATAATATGCTTCAATAATATACTGCAATAATATACTTCAATAATATACTTGAATTTTATATTTGAATAATATACTTCAATGGTATACTTCAATAATATACTTGAATAATATACTTGAATATTATACTTGAATAATATGCTTCAATAGTATACTTCAATAATATACTTCTATAATATACTTCAATAATATACTTGAACTTTATATTTGAATAATATACTTCAATGGTGTACTTCAATAATATACTTGAATAATATAATTGAATATTATACTTGAATAATAGGCTTCAATAATATAATTCAATAATATATTTGAATAATGTACTTCAATGGTATACTTCAATAATATACTTCAACTTGCAAATTCAAAGTACAGGACAAGTTTTTTTTTCTTCATAAAACCGTTGAAGGTTTGGTACAAGGTTCTTCAACGGCTTTTCTTGCGAAAGCGAAAGAACGAAGGAATGTTCACAAGATCAAGGTTTACTTATGCAAAGAGTGTTGAAATTCAGATACCCGAAGACATACACGAGTGTTTTACAAGAGTGACGAAAGAATTTGAGGTTTCGTGCTGGACATGGTTGAACCGTCCTTCGTGGTCATCTCACATACCTCAGGGTGGGATTATGCGGTATCTTGTACCGGTAAACGAAGATGGTACAAAAAGACGGTACTGGTTTCTTACGGTGTTCGATAAAAAACGCGAATATCTCTTGGGGATTAATATCTGGTGTTGGGTTATAACATAATCTTGTTCGGTTTATGACTGTGACTAACCTGAAGAATATAGAGATGTTTTAAGAACAAATAATTTTGGGTTTAGTCGGAATTGATAATTAACTTCTGGTAGAATTATAGAAAAGGAGTTATTGTGAAAGTTATTGTTTTGATTTATTATTGTGAAATCAAGAACACATTGATTTCAAACGAAGAACCTTGAAGATCATTACAAACATACTTTATGAAATGATAAATTTCAAGCTTGTATGAAATAAAAATTAACTTCTGCATCCACAGAAAAATTGTAATATAATATTATGTTGTTTTGTCAAGAGTAGATTTCAGACGATTGCAAATGGAGAACCTTGAATACTATCACAAAGAAAAATAATTTTAAAAAATATTTCATGAAATAATAAATTTAAAATTTACTCAGAATGTGTAGTTTGAAAATAATTGATTTCTAAAAGAACCACAACAAAAATTATTTCTAAACTTGCCACTGTAATTTCTAATAATTTAAGAAACATCAATGTACTTTCTTTCTATGTTCCTTTCTAAGCTCTCTGTCACAAACGACACATCATACTGAATATCTTCATAGTACTTCATAGTACTATGAATATACATATTAACACTGTGTAGGCATTTCAAGAAGTTAAAATGTCTCATAAACGCACATGACATAACCGGAAGAAGAGGTCAATCGCACTCATAAATCATCCAGAAG